ACTAAAAAAAGTAAATTTGCAAAGCATAGCGTAAAAGTATATTTGTAAAATTTACCTAGCAGACCTTTCACTCACAATGTTGCACTCAAAACAAGCTTTCATCCAAACTTTTTATCCAGTCAGTTACAGCTGAAGTTACACACCTATTGGCTAATCTCTCACATGCTTTATCATCGCAAACTAGAGTTCTGGTTTCTGATTTTGTAACACAGGCAAAAATTTCTATGCTAGATTTAAACCTAGTGCTACTATATAAATGAAAATTTATTTAAATATATATTAATATTTATTGGGTTAAGTAAATAAATTTGATAAAAATTAGAAGTTAGAATTACCTCAAATTTTTTAAAAAGTGAAAATATTGCATGGCGTTTATGACACTAGGCAGCCGGTTAACTGGTAGCTCATTTATTAGGTATTTTAGCAGATTTTTTTTTTTAACATCTTCACTTCCAACAAGGCTGCAAGCAACCACTATTATAGTTGGAAGTTACTGAAAGAAAAAAGATGAAGTTTATAGAGCAAGATAATGATTGACAGATGACTTAAAATATTGCAAATTATATGAATCGGGCAAGCAAGATAAAGGAAGTGAATTCCAAAGAACTGATGTTTGAGGAAAAAAAACTGGACGATAAAGAATTTTTGGAGCACTTAGGAACAATCACAGTAAAAGGATGAGACTTTGAGTGACGAGTAACACCAGAATGAATATTAATAGATGACACAAGTGACACTAACTCTTTAGAGAAGTGCCCATTATAGTATTTGTAGAAAAGAGAAAGAGAAGTAACATTACGACTATGTGATAATGGTTGGAGGTTGGCTGCAAGAGCAGGTTCAACTATGTTTACAATGGGTTTTTTCACCTTGTCTAAAAGAGAAAGGGCATCATTAGAAGATCCACTTCAGATATGGCAACAGTATTCCATACAAGGACAGATTTGAGATTTATAGAGATAAAGAATAGAATCCGGAGTAAGCAATTGTCAAGCATTATAAAGAGATGTAACCTTAGCAGATGCTAATTTTGCAATCGATTTGATATATGTTTTCCAAGAAAGATTGATAGTAAGAAATAATCCTAGAAGATGAAGGATAAATGACTCATAGAGAACATTACCCTTTATAAATATAGGAAGATCTAAATTATTGTGATAATGATTGGCTGAAAAAATTGGGTTTTATCTGAATTAAAGTTCACCAGCCATTGTGAGGCCCATGTTGTGGCAGAAGTGAGATCCTTTTCAAGCTCAAATGTCCCCTCCAAGCAATCAGAGAGTGTTGGCTTCTTATCAAGACAAAAATAAATGGTAGTATCATCAGCAAACAATGCCACCTTAGGTGTGAGAATATCTGGATCATTAATGATCATTAAAAAGAGTATAGAGCCAAGGATAGAACCTTGAGGAACCCCTGAAGTTACAGGATATGAAGAAGAGTTCTGTCCATTGAGGGCAACATTTATATTACGATTGGAAGGATTTAATAATCTTAAAGATGTTACCTAATACACGTTAAGAAGAAAGCTTATGGAGAAGACCAGCATGGAAGAGCTAAGCTATTTAATTTAAATGAATTGAAAATATATATCTGAGGATTGGTGAAAAATGGTGTAGAAGATACTATAATTTAAATGTTCACCAGGATTCCATGTCTGCTGAAACATTTGAACATTTGTTATAAAAATATTGCAATTAAAACTATGTATGGCTGTAGGTTTTGCTGAAATTGGGTGCCATAGTTAAGTTTTCGCATTAGATCTGCCAGAATTACTTAATTCATTATAGTTTTTTATTATTTGATATATGCTAAAAAAGAGTGTCACGAAATTATGGGCTGCAAAGGAACTGAATTGGATATTGAAGCAGAAACAGAGACTGAAGGAGAATTGCTTATTAATTATTCCAATGAAAAAAATGAATATGAAGAAAATATCAAAAAAAAAGTCTGAAAAAACTTTGAATACTAATTAAGTTCTTTAAATATTCATCATTGCAATATGAAGTTCTAAAAGAAACATACACAAAGTTTACAGATCATAACAAAGAACTGCTGCTTGACAATCACACTAAATGGAACAGTGATTTTGAGATGATAAAAATTTGGATGTGTTTATTTTTTTTTACAACTTATAAGATTTAGAAAAAAATACTTGAGGAACTAAACTGCCCAAACAAATTAAATGATATTGACGTAAATTTGTTGAAATCGCTGTCTGATTTATTGGAAGTCATTGCTGCTGCTGCAGTTTGCTTGGTAAAGCAAAGTACAGCAATTTTGTAGTGTGATATTGTTATGAAAACGTTAGTTAGCAAAGTAAAGATTGTAGAAACTGACTTTAACAGTTCTAAGTTGAAACAGTTCTAAATTTGCAGGTGTGTTAATTTCCAGATACAAAAATTGTAAAAACATTATGTTGGTATCCAATTTTTTTTTAAATAAAAACTACACATTTTTTCACGCTTCGAAAAAAGATATTCAAGTTGCAAAATTATTTGATTAAATATTTGCAACAAAAGAAAATAGTCACATCAAAATTAGATAATCACACTAAAGGCAAACAAGGAGAGCCATCACAATCAACATTCTTTTTTACCAAAATTCAAGACAACTCAGAATTAAAATTAATCAACAGCTAAAAAGCCAAAAAAAATAGACCTTCACCGATCAGTTAAAAGTGTATGAAGCAACTGGTGTGAAATCTGAAGCAATTTTGAAATTTGAACTAGTTGTCCACAGAATTCAAACCATTTATTAGATAAAACCAGTTAATAAAAAAATTGTGATAAAAAAAATATTAAAGTGCTAAGATATAAAAAATGTGAACTTTTTTAAAAATTTATAATGAATTATAAATTGAAACATATAATATTAAAAAAATAAATGCAAGAACAATAATTAGTTATTTACTTGATAGTTAAATTACTTTTTTAAAACATTCAGAATGTTTTTAAAAACATTCTAGTCTTTTAGTTTGCATTTTTGTGGTTTTTAAAAAAAACAATAAATTTAATTAGTTCCCTCAAGGGTGTGTTTTTTATAGGGAAAAATGTTCTTTTTAAAACTTTAAATTGCAAATCCTCTTATATAGAAAAGTTTGATAAAAAAAGTACATAGTTAAATTTTTTTTGCAAACTGATAAAGGAAAGTCAAAACCCTATTTTAAACCTCTAAATTGACCAAAATTTGTCTAAAAATCTGATTTTGAAGTTTTTTTATGCTGCTTTAAATTACATTTAAAAACATTACATCCAAAAAATTATGTTTCAACATAGATAGTTCACCGAAGAATAAAAGTGCAAGCAAATTTAAATGCTCCCTGCCCATTATTTACCAATATCTTTCCTAAATGCATATTTTGATTTCATTATTAAAAAATATTTTCCTTATAATAACTTGGTGCAAGTAAACTAAGTTTTAAGTAAACTATTACTCAGAAATTAATTTTTAATAAATTTAATAACAAGAATGATTGGTCATAGTATGATTAGTCGTATTATATCATAAGGTTGTGTAGTCATACTATAATGTAATGCTAATATTTTAACTGTAGCAGCTAAAATATTAGCATTAGCTCTTGAACTTAGCTAAGAACTCAAAAGCTAATGCCTTAGCATTAGCTCTTGAGTACTCAAGTATCACAAGTATGCTGCTTGTGGATTATCTGCATGTTCAAGAGGAAAAACTAAAATTCACCTGCAAGATTAATATACTTTTTGACATTGCCCATGGTGAATGGGATTATCATATCAAGATAAATGAAGATAAAACTGATTGACCTGTTCCTGATTGAAAAGTTCCTGATTGTAGTTTCTGAAAGTAGTCAACAACATAAGAAGACTTAATATTTAAGTAAGCTTAAATACAAAAAAACCCAACCTTGAAGAAAATAGGAGCTAGGAATGACATAAAAATGTAAAGATTTATCTATAGAACCATTATTGGACCATTCAAATTACTTTTTTGGATAAAAATTCTTACTTGTTCAATATTTTTACAACAGTTTGGGCACTAGTCAATTATCAATTACAGTATCCAAACCTTGTACTCTTGACAATCAACTATTTAATGCAGCATTAGACAAACAAAAACAACACCATCGCAGCAATCATGATTGTCACACTAGCACTAGCTACAATAGGTACTGATGTAAGAAAAATAACATCTTCATGTACCTCTCCAGCTCAAAATAATAAATATCTTAAAATAGCAGTAAAAAGGATTTTCAACTCCTGGCTTATTTGTATGGCAAAATATTGACATATATTAATGGAACCATCAAGCCAGATACAACAATTGATGTGAATGTTTGCCATTTATTGTCTAGTTTGTAACCCTCAATATTAGGTTAGGCGTTTGGCAATGCCGACCTAGCTGCCGGCCTCAAAATGTTTGAGGTTGGCAAAAAATTGCCGACCTTGTTTCTATGTTATATGGTAACCCCTTTGTGTCAATTTTTTTTTTGCCGACCTGATGCTGACCTCTAACAGTTAGAGGGCAGCAATTTTTTGCCAAGGGTTGGGCTTGGATATTGAATAATTATTTGGAATCCATAATATACTTGCTATTACCGGTGCTTTGATGGAGCAGATGGTAATTGAGTTCATCATTTAGACAAAATTGAATCTTAAAAAGGCTTAAAAAGCAGGTTTAGGTTTATGATCATTTCAGAAATTTGTTATTTTAGACTAAAATGGGATTCTAAAGGGCTTACAAAGCAGGTCTAAGGGGCTACTTTTAAATATATATATATATATATATATATATATATATATATATATATATATATATATATATATATATATATATATATATATATATATATATATATATATATATATGTATATATATATTGAGTTCATTTATAATTAAGTATGAAGATGTAATAAGTATTTTTATTCATTTTACATATATTTTATTTCTTTTTTTTAATTTACTTTATTTTTTATTTCTTTTCATTTTTATATTATGCAGTACACAAATATGATTGTTGATAGGTACACAAATAGTTGTTGAAGATTTATTTTATAATGTGGATGTTCGAAGAAAAGCTCTTAAAAATCCAAGTGAAGAGTATAATAAAATTGCTGACATCATAAGCAAATATGCTATTCATAATCCATCAGTGTCATTTACACTAAAAAAATTTGGGGAAAATACTGCTGGCATTCGAACTCAAGCAGACATGCAAGTTATTGATAATATTAAAAATATATATGGTCCGACTATAGCTCGGGAATTGCTTCCAGTTACTCTTGAAAGTGTCTATTATGGTTTCAAAATGAATGGATTTATCTCTAATGCAAACTACTCTATGAAAAAATGTATTTTTTTGTTATTTATCAACCATCGGTTGGTTGAATGCAACAGCTTAAAAAAAGCCATAGAAGCAGTATACCAAAATTATCTCCCTAAAGAAAAGCATCCTTTTTTATATATGAGTTTAGAATTAAATCCGGCAAATATTGATGTAAATGTTCACCCTACTAAACATGAAGTCAAGTTTTTGCATGAAGAAGCTATAATCGAGGAAGTTCAAAAGTGCATCGAAACAGAATTACTTGGTGCAAATAATTCTCGACATTATTACACCCAAACATTATTACCTAAGCTGGTGGATGCTGGGATTGAGTTTCCAGTTTCAGGTGCACCTTAATTAAAAATATTTCTAATTTTCTTTTTTTAAATTATTTGCTTTTAAATATTTATTTATATTTTTCTATTATAAACATTTATAAATGTCTTTAAATCTTTTTTGATTTTTTTTTTTTTTGATGTTATAAAAAAAGTTAATTCTTCTAAAACATTAAAACATTTTTGTTATTATAAAAGTAATAGTTTCAATACTATAAAATTGCAACATTAGACAAACAAAAACAACACCATGGGGATGATTGTCTCATCAGCTACGATGTAACAGTTGCAATACTATAAAATTAAAAAAAAATTTTAATTTTTTTTCAAATTGTTTTAATTTGTTTGTTTAAAATGGCAATATAAATATAATTGAAAATGCAACTTTTATTTCCATTCACATAGTTCTTCATATTGGAAAAATATTTTAACTAACCAAAAATAATTGCAATCATCAAAAAATATATTGTCATCATAAAATTGGTTTTTACTTTTCTAAAAATTTCTTTGAAAGATCCTTTTCCTAAATATTTCAAATCTTGAATTGTCTATAAACTTGAACTACTTTAATGTCAATCCTGTTATAATGGCAATCCTATATAACAGGATGCAATGAAAACTTGCATATTTACAAACATCCTAACTCAAATAAAAGTTGTTTTGGTTTAAAAGATATTTTGATATTTTTTTTTTAATTCTCCCTCCAACAAATTTGTCTTAAAACTCAAAGGGAGTTGTCTTGACAAATCAAATATTTTCGATAAAGTCTAAATACATAACTCTAAGTATGATGATCTCTATAAGCTTGCTTTATATATCATGTACCTGAGAAAGTTTTTGAGATTATTAAATCATTTCATTCTAACTGCAGTGTTAAAGTTGTCCAAGCCCAACACTGTTCTTTTTCCAGTAACTTCGGGGGTACTATCCTTGGGGGTTTGGGGGTACTATCCTTCGGGGGTTTTATCCTTGGTCCTGTCTTTTATTATTTTTAATCTATAATAATAATAATCTCTCTGACAATCTTACATCTGAATCTATTTGCTGACAACACAGCTATATACTCTGGTCTACACTGACTGTTCTAAGAACTTACAACCGATCTTGAATCTGATCTCTATTCTGTCACAGCATGACAGGGCTTGTGATGAAGTAAATCGCGCTCGTAAAATTAGAATATGTTTTAATCAAGCGTGATTATGTGTGCTCATTCGACGATGCTCATAAAAAGCTTTTTATTTTTTATATCTTTTTTTATTTTTTACATCATTCTTTCATCAACAAATATTTGAATTAGTATCACTCTTATAAAACTACTTCAACAAAGTAGATTTTTATACTTCAAAACTTCTTACATATTGTTTGTGTCAGATAGCAATTTTTTTTGAACTTTTTATGGTAAAAAAAATATATATCAAACAAAAACGCAACTTCTTATTGATTTAGTTTGAAGTATAATTTTAGTTTTTTGCTTACGTTGTTTTGATATATGTATTTAAAAATGTTACGCTGTAAACTTAATTAACGGTTAATGGTTTTTATATTTCTTGATATTTTTTATTCAAATTAATTATTATTAGTGTTTTTTTTTCTAAAATTTCTTATTTAAATTACGTTTGACTTTTTGTCAAATTAATTTGTCAGTCATGTCTTCATCAGCACTGTCTATTTCATCATTGTCATCAAAAACTTGATTTGCAATCAATGTTGTTGCTGTTGTCATATAGTCAACTGGATCATCATCAACTTAAACCACTCGTCTCTTATTCAAATAAATTTCTTTTGCTTGCTTTTTAATCAGGATTATTTCTTCTTTTGACCAGCTTTTATTGTTTTTCTAATATCACTATTATTTAGAGTGTCATGATTCATAGATAAACAATGATCAGATAATATGCTAGTTACTGTGTTAAACGTTCCACGCTTTCGTTCGTTCCACGCTTGAGTTTGATCTGGAAATTGCCAAGACTTTTAATAAATTAGGAAACTTTTGTACAAGAACGTCGACCTCCAAATTTCTTCTGTCTGGCGATTGCGTACCATTGCTTCAAGATTGGTTCTTGAATGAATCAAAAATAGTTTCTATTCTTGGGAAACTAATTTTTCTCTAAAATTGGAATGTTCCAATGATGTTTTAAAATGCGTGGACAAAAACTTTATTCCTTCCAAGTCAAACTCTTTATTCCTTCCAAGTCAAACTCTTTGTCGTCAGTCCAGTTCTGCGGGTCAATGAGCGGCATGGCGTGATAAATCTCAGACTCTTCCTTTATGCTTGTAAATCTGCTGTTTAACGTATTTATAAGTCTGGGTATAACCTAATAAATTCTTAAAAGCTCTTATATGATGGCCAACAATACCTAAAATATCTTATCAAGTTTAATATTTAAAAATTAAATAGTTTACATTTATCTTAAAAATAAAAATCCCAGTAAGAAAGCCATGTAAGAAAGGTAATCTTGTAATGTGTTTTCACTATGAGCCAAGTTCTTGAAAAATAAAATGATCATTTAAAATATTAATTACAGTTTTAAGCTGCAACGTTTTACTGCAGTAAAACTTTGCGGTAAACTTTACCTAAAGCTGCAGATGCATTTATAACTTCTTGTTTTATTTTTCCCGAGTTTCGAAAAAGATAAAAATTTGTATTGTAAAATTCATCAACTTTCTTAAATTTAGAGATCTCTGAAAAAACCTCTTTAATTGCCAGTTCTACTCTGTGGTTGACAATGAACTGGATGCAGCCATTCTCTATCTGCCTTTATTTGCGCTATGACACCGCAATATTTTCCAAAGTTTACACTTGCACCATCGGATGTTATATTGACTAATTTATTTTTGTAATCATTGGAGTCTAGTTTAAATTCTGCGGTTTCAAAAATTTTATTAATTCCCTTGACAATGGAGTCTGCTTCTCCTCCGCCAAACCTATCGATATCAACTAGATCCAGAACCATATAAAAAGCAGGCTTGGTCGGGAAGCGGGAGCGACCGCTCTTGAATACTGACCACGGAAATTATATTTAGTTGCGAAAAACTGGCCACGTTATTTAGTCGTTTTAAGAACATTCAAGTTTATGTGTTTCCGTAAAACAAAAATATTTTGTTTTACGGACATACATGGAAACATACATAAACTTGAATGTTCTCAAAACATCTTGGTGCCGAAGAATAAAAAGCTAACACTAAAAACCCGCCAAGTTTACGAACAAACTAATTCTATTGGTTCAAAAAATACACTGACTAAGTGAAATAAAGTTCTAGAAAATTCTGTTAAAATGTTTTAAAAATTGTATCATTCAAGATTTGTTAAGTTTTAAGATTTCTAGCATAAATTGTTTTAAGAATATCAAACAAATTATTATTTTAATACTATGGCTCATTCTTCGAGCCACATTTGCAAAGCCGTAAATCTTTTTAGCTATTATTATTTGTTTACAAAAATAAATGTTTTATAATATATATTTTTTAAATTGTCAAAATTTTAAAAGTTTATTATAAATTATAGATTTTATTAGTATATTGTTATTTTTTATTTAAAAATTATGTATTTTTTATGTAATTTTGTGTTTCTGTTTATATTCTAATGTAATATTTTTAAAGCAGTTTTTACTATTTATTTTGTAAGCATAAAGACTTTCAACAAAAATTGCATTTTCAGTAATAATCATCAAAGTTGATAAAACTAATTATGAAATAAACATACAAAAAGTTTCTGGTTACTAAACACAAACATGCATACACAGTAACTCGCGGATGAACAAGCACCACGCGTGAAGTCACGACAAGACACAAATATACACATATACACGACAAGACACAAATTTACTTTTTATTAATTTTACTTGCTATCAACAAAAAAATTATTTTTCAAAACTAAAAAAAAAAATTAAGTGAAAATCAGCCTTACGAACTAAAAAACATTTGTGTAACTGATCAATAATGAAACTTTCAAACTAAAATTCCTACCCCCCCCCTGCATTAAGGACTTGAGAGTAGCAGACAATATTGTTTCATTCTCTAGGACTCTTCAGTAATGTAATGATTTTATGGGACTAAATCTAAGCAATAAAACTAGAAAACTGTTTTGTGCACGCACTACAGAGTAGTGGGCAAACAGCAATGACGCATCCCATAAGAAGTGAGCTCAACAAAACTTCATGTTAAGGAGCTATATCCAACATTAGACAATATTGTTTTACAACACAAACATAAATACATAAAGTGACTTACAAGTGGATCAGCACCGCGCCAGAGGTCGAGATAGAACACAAACATATATGAACAAAACAAAAGCATACAAAACAAAACACAAACATAATTACATACATAAAGTGACTTACGAGTGGATCAGCACCGGGCCAGAGGTCTAGACAGAACACAAACATACATGAACAAAAAAAAGCGTACACAACAAAAAACAAACCTAATTACATACAAAAAGTGACTTACGAGTAAAGAAATGTAAAATATAAATCCCCAGCGCGACTTAAAATATCTTCTCGTTCTTGGTAAGTGAAATTCTGGTCATTTTCTTCTATTATTATAGAGTCTTCCAATGTTAAGTGGTTCATCTTTAAACGTCGATCAGTCAGTATTACAGTGAAAATACTGAATATGCGTTTGACAGCGGAATTAGAGCCAGAAATACACATCATAAGTTCAACTAGAAGACAAAAGTTTGGAAACTTGATTCAATGACGAAGGAAAAATTTCTGCCACATTTCCAGTGGTGTGAGTGCAATGGTGTACTGAGTATTTATTACTAGTTTTGCAGCATTCCATTCTGAAAGAACCTATTCCTGCAGCCTCTAGAGGGTAAAAAAGTTCTTTTAGTAATAAAGATATGCTGACACTACCATACATGCTGTCTGCTGTCCATAATTGTGGATCTAACCAATCCATTGATTCAAATACTGGATTTAATAGTGAACTAAATCTTTCGTTTATCAATGGCAGAATGATGTCAATTGCGAATTTTCTTAATTTAATGGCAGAACTAAGACATTCTAAG